GACCAGTCTCTGGCGCTGCTGCTGCGCCTGCGCTGGTGCTGCTGCTGCGCCTTCGTCGTCATCTCGCTGCTGCTGCGGCTGCGCTGGTGCTGCTGCTGGCGCTGGGGCTGCTGCGCTGAGTGGTGGCTATTGAGGACGTTGGCCGCCTCCACCACGCGCAGCAGGGCCCTCGCCGAGGAGCGGCGTGCCCTCTCCCGCCTGTGCCAGGCGGGCTCCAGAGGCGTCTGGCCCCACGTGGCGCGCCAGCGGGCGCGCAGCCAGGCGCAGGGTCGCGGCTGCGGCGTCGGCTATCGCCGACCCGCCGCGGCGCGCGAGCCCGGCCCCGCGGGCGGCCGATCACGATTGGCGTGAGTCGATCGGCGCGATCGAACGATCAGGCCGAACGGATGATCGTTCACGGCCCCGGCCCGCCAGAGGCCAGATGGGCCTCCTCCTCCTCCTCCTCCTCCTCCTCCTCCTCCTCCTCCTCCTCCTCCTCCTTCCCCCCCCCCCCCTACGGTCGGAAACTAACTTCTGCTTAGCGTGTCGCCGCGGCTGTCCCTGCGACACGCTGTGCCTTGCAAGCTGACGGTGTGCCGCTCCACTCCGCGGGGCGGGAGGCTGGGAACAGCTCGGGACGCTGGCGCCCTCTCCTCCTCCCTCCTCCCTCCTCCCTCCTCCCTCCTCCCTCCTCCCTCCTCCCTCCTCCCTCCCTTCCCTCTCCCCTCCTCCTCCTCCTCTCCTCCTCCTCCTCCTCCTCCCTCCTCCTCCTCCTCCCCCTCCTCCTCCTCCTCCTCCTCCTCCTCCTCCTCCTCCTCCTCCTCCTCCTCCTCGGGAAGTTGACGCTTGGGAACGGAGACGTGGCTCGCATGTCGCGTCGAGTCGTGGTGGGCCCGAACCGGCGGAGCGACACGCCAAGCCGACGTTCCTGACCGTAACCCCTCGCCCCTCTCCGAGGGGAACGATGGGGGGGGGCTGGCTCATGGGGGGGGGAACGTCTCGGCGATGGGCCCCCGAGATCGACAAGAACGCGCCCTGGGCCGGGTGGGCTGCCAGGCCCCTGTCGCTGATGAGTGGGCGATCGGGGGTCGATGCGTTCGCCCTCTGTGTTTGTGACCCCCAGACGTTGACCCTGACTCTCTGGAGAAACCAAGAAGCGGTACAGACAGGAACATCTAAGCGACGCTCCAAAAAGGGCTTGACGCGAGATGACATGGCGACCTCACGCGGCTGCTTACGCGGGCCGCCATCGCGGCACGCTACCTCTGGGGAAAACAAAGGGCACCGATACCGCTACTCCCCGGACCTCTCCCAGGGCGCGTTCTGACCAGAATTTCGAAGCGAATCCAGCGGTGGCGACGAAGCCTCCGAGGAGACCCAAAAATGGGAAAACGAGGAAAGGGTAGAGGTATGGGTACCTTTTCCTCTCTGAACACTGGAGACGAGGGCGCTTACGCGCGACCTTACGCGGGCAGCATGCGCGCCAATACTGGCGCAGACGACCCCGCTTGGGTGGCTCAAAGATGGGGTCCTGGGGCATGGGGTCCGGAGGATAGGAAGGGACCCAAGGGTGGAGATCGCGTCGTTTGAAGCACCTCCTCCTTAGGAACCCATCCCTCCGGGACCCCATCTCCGAACCGCCGATCCGTCCTCCTGCGCCGCTCTCCTCTCGAGGCGGACGGACCTCTGGGGCCGGCGCTGGGGCCCACCCCGCGCAAACCCTGAGCTCCGCGCGCTGGGGAAGGGGTGGAGGTGGGGGGGGGGGCTGGCGTAGGGGGCTGGCATAGGGGGGGGAAAGATAGGGGGGGGGTTGGCATAGGGGGGGATGCATCGACCTGGAATCGGCGATACATCGCCGATAGATCGGCGATGCGTACGCAGGACGGACGATTTTCCTCTTGAGGCGAACATGGCGATGATGAGTTCGACAGATAACACCGGCGCCGCCGAACGGATGGCGTCTGGACGAGCTGCGTGCAGCTCGTCCAGGAGGAGAGGAAGCGGGGTCGAAATCGGATCCACCGTAAAAACAAGGCCGGACGCGGATCCAGAAAATCCGAAATCGGACCCGCGCGGACGGAAATCGGATCCACCGAAACAAAAACCAACACCCCAATTGGATCCGATCGACCTTCATGGAATCCGACGGCGGTTATTTCATACGCGTCTGCTCAAGGTCTCAAAGCGTTGGTCCGGGCCCAAGAGGAAAAACTTTCGTCCTTGGGGGGGGAATTTGTTTTTTCGGACTTGTTGGTTACCACATAGCCGACACACCACGTCTCACAGGCAGTCCGCTGGGTCAAGAGACGCAGGGCCGAAACGCACTCACGCAAGACGAACGATTTTCCTCTTGAGGTAAAAAATGGCACTGATGAGTTCGACAGATAACACTGGCACCGCCCAACGGTTGGCGTCTGGACGAGCTGCGTGCAACTTGTCCAAGAGGAGAGGAAACGGGGTAGAATCGGATCAACCGTCAAAAACTAGGCCGGATGCGGATCCAGAAAATCCGAAATCGGATCAGCGCAGACGGAAATCGGATCCACCGAAACAAAAACCAACACCACAATTGGATCCGCTCGACCTTCATGGAATCCGACGGCGGTTATTTCATACGCGTCTGCTCAAGGTCTCAAAGCGTCGGTCCGGGCCCAAGAGGAAAAAACTTTCGTCCTGGGGGGGGGGGAATTTGGTTTTTCGGACTTGTTGGTTACCACATAGCCGACACACCACGTCTCACGGCGGTTACCTCATACGGCGGCGGTTACCTCATACGCGTCTGCTCAAGGTCTCAAAACGCCGGTCCGGGCCCAAGAAGGAAGAACTTTCGTCCTGGGGATGTATGCCCCCGATACTAAATCCGCACCTTCCTGGGCAAGTTGGGGCTATCGGGTCCCTATCGGCGATCACTGGGCGACTGGGGGTCGATGCGTCCCCCGATTTGCCCAGCCCCCCAGATCGTTGCCCCTGACGAGCGGGGAGGGGGGGGCCAGCGCCGGCCCAAGATATCGGCGCCGACCTCTGAAGATTCCGCGTATGTGGCCTCTTGGAATTTTGTGTGTGTGTGTGCTTTTTGTTGTTTTTGTTGTCTCTCTCTCTCTCGCTCTCTCTCTCTCTCTCTCTCTCTCCATCTTCCTTTCTTCCCGGAGGCCAGGGCCATCTCAGGCATCCAGTGTCTCAGTGTTTTGTTCAACGCGGAGTCCCTGGAGTCCCGATCCCTTCCCCAGGGCGACTTTTTCATCCCGAGGAGGAGGAGGAGGAGGAGTGTCAACCCAAGAGTCATCAACGATGTTGGAATTTACCCTCCTTCCAAGCTCCCTCTTCATGGGCCCCTACAACGGCTCACTTCCATTAAGGGAACTGCCGAACCGTTTGAAGATCCTGGAAACTGTTGCACCCGCACAGTCCTGAATCCTTTCAAAACGCCACTTCCGGTACGTTGATCACGAGAACCCGTGAATCTCTTGCAAACAGAAAGAATGGGCGCGGCGCTAAGGCGAGAACCACATGTTGAAAACCACCCGCCCTCAATCCGTGAAACCGTTGTCACTTTTTAAGCTTCAGAATCATTGAGGAAGTCTCAATCGGCCCGCCCCGCCCGCCCTAAAAACAGGCCTCGGGGTGCGACAGGGAGAAGTTATTTATAAGGAAAGATGAATGAGTCTTCAATGCACCAGTGCGTTGGATGCCTGGGCCTCCTCCCAGGAGGCCAGGGCCATTGCGTCCCGAGTCTGTGAAGGGGCCCTGGGACACACAAATAAACACAAATAACAGGATCCCCCATATTTTCTGGGTTTTCGTTTTCCCCCCCACTTCCCATACGTTCCCACATTTTCGCGAGAACCGACGATTACTTGTGTCTATGTTTTTTCCCTCCTGAGTCTGAGCCTCCGCTGCGCCCGCACAGCACAACAAATGACAGCCTCAAGCCTGTGACTGGGACAGCTCATTGTTTCAGGCGCTCCGGGTGAGCTTTCGGCGAGCACGCCGCCTCTTCAGACTGGCCTGGGTTAGGATGGCTGCGGGCCTCCCTCCTGCCAGCGCGCGCAGGAGCAAGGAAAGAGAGGGAAAGGAACTGCCTGACTGTACTGTACCGCTCCACCTCGAGGAGCTGGCTGCTGGACACGAGAAAAGCTGGGACCGTGAACAATCTTCCGAAGCGTTGGAGGTCTGGGCCTCGTCCCAGCAGGCCAAGGCCACCATGGCCCCCGAGTCGGAGCCCCAGCCCCTGAGCTCCGACGGCGCGAAAAAATGCTGCGTGGTGAGATAATCACAGCCAGAACCCTCGACCCCAGAAGACGAAGCCAGGACGAGGGCAAATTCGGGTGAGGATACACCGAGAATGCCGAGAATGTGTCCGGAGCCGCGGCTATCTCAGAGTGTTCCGGAACGCTCTGAGGGCGTCCTTGAACGCTCTAGAATAGATTCCTCCTCGTCCCAGCCCCGTCCGACCCCTCTTCGGGGGGCCTCCTCCTCCTCCTCCTGCTCCTCCTCCTCCTGCTCCTCCTTTCTCCTCCTTCCTCCTCCTCCTTCCCCCTCCTCCTCCTTCTCCTTCTCCCTCCTCCTCCTCCTCCTCCTCGCCTTTCTGCGTCCTTTTTGAGCCGCATCGATCTGCGAGGGTCCCTGGGGCCCGAGACCAGGCGCAGAGGCCCTCGCTGGATTTTCTGGTTGAGACATCGGGATCTCAGCTGGTGGGCGAAGTATCCGCCACCACTGCCATGGGGAGCAGGGAAGATAGGGAGGTCCTCCTCCTCCTCCACCTCCACCTCCACCTCCTCCTCCTCCTCCTCGTCCTCCTCCTCCTCCTCCTCCTTCTCCTGCTCCTCCTCCTCCTCCTCCTCCTTCGTCCTCCTCCTCCTCCTCCTCCTCCTCCTCCTCCTCCTCCTCCTCCTCCTCCTCCTCCTCCTCCTCCCCCTCGTCCTCCTCCTCGTCCTCCTCCTCCTCCCCTCCCCTCTCCTGCCCATATGGCAGCGATGGTGGGACGTCGGCCCCTCCTCCTCCGGGGCTGCGCCCGCCCCCGCCTGCTCCGAGGTGTGGTTCACCAGCTCGCCGAGGCCCTTCGCGGCGATCTCGCGCACCTCCGCCTCGGGCCGCCGCGCGGTCCGCAGGGGGGCGCCGCGCAGGCGCGCGAAGCTCGCGCCCGCGGCCCACAGTTGCATCGGGCGTGTCCCTCGACAGGGGGACTCTGGGCGAAAGGAATAAGGAACATCGGGACGAACAAATCGAAAGTAGTCAAACCATGTATGTTCTACCAGAGTCAGAACTAGTTAGACGAACGCGTTCCACTACTCGCCAAGTAGCTACTCGCAAATGGACTGGATCCACCAAGGGGGCCCACGATAAATGGCATCGAAGCAGACATGTGTTTTTTCTGACGTTTACAGGTAGGCACTTTGCGAATAGTGGAACGCGCTCGGCGATTAGTAGGACATTCGTCCCTAGACTGATTTTTGACTGTGTTTGAATGTTCCCCCTGTAGAGGGACATGCCCGACTTCACCCTACAGTCGGCGTGTTCACAGAAGGAACGCTGAACAAGGAACATATCGGCGGCGAGCGGGGGGGGAAAGTGAGAAGGAGAAGGGCTTCTCAGAAGGCGGCGGGACTTGCTCAGAAGGCCTCGCGCCTCCTGAGAAGTTTTCTGCGTCTTCGGGGAAGGCTCCAAAGACTTCTCAGAATGCCGGGGGACTTCCAAGCCTTCTGAGAGGGCCCGCCCCTTCTCGCTTTCCCCCCTCGCTCGCCGCCGAACAGAAAGGCTTTCCTGGCCGTGGCGAGCTTCGGCCACGAAGGGCTTCCCCGACCCGGGTCTGCGGAGCGGCCCGAAACATGGAGCCCATCCGGAGCCCAGGGTGGCCCCGGTTGCAGCGTCTTGACTGTGCGGCGAGGTCGGCGCTGCGCTGGAGTACCTGCGGGACCTGCCGTGGCACTGCGCAGAACGCAACGGCCGCGCTGCCAATGGACGTATACCCGCCAATCAGAAGAAGTAGGTGGAAACACGGAACGGGAAGGTACACAAGGTAGATCGGGGTCGGGCCCGCCCAGAAGAAAACAGACAAACAGCAAACGCAGATCGACTCTTGGAGTAGGAAGGCGCTTGGAATACCAGAAATGCCCTCGGGCCGGGGGGGGGGGGCGAGGCACCGCGGCTTCCTGGCTGGAGGAGGAGAGGAGGAGGAGGAGGAGGAGGAGGAGGAGGAGGAGGAGGAGGAGGAGGAGGAGGAGAAGGAGAAGGTCCGGCTGCGAGGACCCTTGCGGGCAGAGCTTCTCCACGCCGGCTCTGCTCACAGAGGCGATTTTGGGGTCCCCTCGAAGCCCCAGCTCTGGCCGAAACTGGCGCGCTCCCCCGAGCCGCCGACCGCAACACCTCAACCTGCGTCAAGTCAGCCGAAGTTTCGGCTTGCGCCCTCTCCTCCTCCTCCTCCTCCTCCTCCTCCTCCTCCTCCGCCTCCTCCTCCTCCTCCTCCTCCTCCTCCTCCTCGGGCCCAGTTCTCTTCTGGGACCAGTTTCTCTTCTGGGACCGTGGTGGGAAGCCTGAGAAGCACCGAACATGCTCCGAACCAGCGCAGGGTTCCCCCATTTCGACGCCCCGACCAAACGCGGTTTTCCTTTACCCCTGTCCGATGCCGCTCTCTGCGCGATGTGGCTACTAAGAAGGATGCGTGGGAAGCAGGGGGGGGGGGGAAGAAAGTGAGGAGAAATGGAGTAACGGGCGAGGGGAAGAGGAAGTCCATTCGCCGCTCAGGCGAGACGTGCCAGGGGCCACTCCCTCGGCCCCCTGGCGGCCAGCGCCTCAGTGCACGCTGCCCCCCCTTGGCCGAATCTGCATGCCCTCCTCGTGCCACTCTGTGCTGCGGTCGGGCCTGAGACAAAAGAACCTCCCTCAAGAACATGGGGCCCGCCGCCGGCCGGCCTAAACTGAAGAGCGCTCGAGGGTGCCCTCCCCAGGATGCACAAGAGCAGCCAACAAAAACAGCGAAGAACATCAGGGCACCCTCCCCGAACCGACCTCGATCGCACGCCTCGGTCCGGCCGCACACCTCGCCCCAATGCACTCCTCGGACTGGAGGCGGCGGCCGCCGAGACCGCACGGCCCACGACGGAAGGGCCGACGCCTCCGCCCACGCTGCCGCCACGCCGAGACGGAACAGACTTCAACGTGCCCACTCTGGCCCCTGGCGGCCCACGGCAGCCCAATCTGCGGCCATCATCCCCGCGCCGACTGCTCCGGAGCATGTGGGTCCCAACGGCCTGTTGCCCGCAGCCCAGGCGGCCATTTCTCATGGGAGGCCCCACCGATGCCAGGGGGCTCTCGGAAGGGCGCAGCTGATGGGAGAGGCCAGGTCGTTGCGACAGCCCTACGAAATGGAGGGAGGGAGGAGGGGGAGGGAGGAGGGATGCGTGGAGGAAGATGGAGGTGGAGGAGGTGGGAACAGAGCTAGCGAGCAAGAGAAGGAGGAGGAGGAGGAGGAAGAGGAGGAGGAGGAGGAGGAGGAGGAGGAGGAGGAGGAGGAGGAGGCGGAGGAGGAGCGAGAAGGACGCAGGAGGAGGAGGAAAGGAGGAGGAGGAGGAGGAGGAGTGTCATGAGTGTCATGATCGCCACAGTCACAGTGGCAAGCGGGACTAGCGAGAGCCAGGGATTAACCGACGCCCCTCCGCGCGTCGGACCCGACTGACAGCGGCCTCCAAAACAGGGGGGGCCGAGGGCCCCTTGTGGCCTGGAAACAGCCCTCGGCGAATTCGAAGGAGATTCTCGTGCCCTTTCTTAAAGCAACGGAAACATTCGCTGAGGAGTTGCCTCGGGTCGACTGCAGCCGATCGGCCACACCCAGAACAAAAATACAACGAGTGCTCGGGCCAAAAATGCAAACAGTGACTGGGATGCAATGAACCCCCCCCCCCACCGTCACCGCCCGCCTCACCCGAGAAATCCCATGGCCAAACTCCTGCTTAGTCTCGCCGTCGTCCACGGCAGGGCAGGGTTGGGCGCAAGCCTCGAAAACGCTCGCCGAGGGAACGATTGTCGAGCAAAGTGAGCAAATCCAGTTCGCGCCAGTTTTAATTAAACAGTGCGAGCTTCCTCTTAGGGCAGCCTGAAGTTTCGTGACAGTGGAACGGCCCAGCTTGGGCCTGTCCGCGGTCCACGGGGCCACACGAATGTGTTCCGCCAGCGCTTGGGCTGCCCTTTGGCGGATGAGAAAACAGGTGGCGTCCCATCTGTCAGTGTCGGGGATACGCTGACCACGAGTAGCAAGGTCCCAAGACTCCTGAGCAGCCTGGCCCGCCAACTCGTCAGTAAACTCATTACCCGCCGCGAGAAGAACCTGGTCCTCCGACAAGGAGGGGTCCGTGGGATCCAGGTGGGAGGGGGTCCACAGAACAGAAATCCCGCTCTCGCGGCCCTCTAGGGCCAAGCGGATACGAAACCACAGATCCGAATACACACCACTACTGTGACGGAAACGGCGCCGCCGCCGCCCCTCTAAAAGGGGCTGGTTGTCAGTGACATACTCAATATCCCCTACCACCCCCTGGATTAAAAAGTCAGGCCCCCTTGCATCGTCGCTCCCCGAGAAGTAAACATGACTGGCACGAAATCCCAAGCAGATACGCAACTTCCAAGTAACATAACTGGGACCGGAAATTCATTTGCGGAGAAGTCCCAAGCGAAATCGCCAATTTCCGGTCGCCACTGAGAATTTCCGGTCGCCTGGAAAGCGTCCGGAAATTTTTTTGGAGGAAGTATTCGGCGGAATGCGGATTTCCGGTCGTCACCCCACTTGGCGATTATAATATTAGAGGGGGTGAAGGTGGACCGGAAATTTAACCATGGCGGCCCCTGCAACATTGCACCGGGGCCCCGTGGCCTAACGGGAGCCGAACCTCAAGGCTTATTCCCCGACCTCTGCGGTCCGGACTTTTTCTTCCAGGGGGTTGTATGACGTTGCGGAGCGCCAGCTCAAAGGCCAACAGCTCCGCCCTGGGGGCCGTCTGACGGCGGCCTGAGATGGTGGAGGCCCAACCCTTTAGTCGGCGCCACTTGGCGCCATCCCAGGCCACCAACACAGCAGCAGCGCCGACACGTCGGCGGCGACGGTCGGAGCTGAAGGCACCTCCAGAGCCATCTCCAAAGACCCGCAGGAGCCCCGAAAGGGACCTGGCCGCGGCGACAGAGGACCCTTCGACTAACGACGGCGGCGACCCCACCTCCCAAGCCACATCCGCCCCCCCGTCCTTGAACGCAGGAAAGTTAAAGACCTTGGAGGCAGGCCACGGAGCCACAAGGCAGGGTTAGCCTCGCGGCCCACTCTGGCCTGGTGACAGAGGCCGTCCGAAAGCTCAAAGGCCTCATGATTGTAATTCTTGGGACATTCCCACACTCTGTGAAACAGCTTTTCGGGGGCCAGACCGCTTGGGGGCAGGTAGTGGCGACAACATACCCCGCCTCATGTTGGCGGACGTGGGCCCACTGGCCCCCTGACACGACAGTCGTGAGTAGGCCTACATGCCCATGTTGATCCCGATGCTCGAGACGCCTGAGCTCCTGGCGCAAGGGCTGGAGGTCAGCCCCCTCGGCCAGGTCGTCGCCGTGGGGGTGGGGCGATGCATGGGCCCACAAAGCTGCATTCAAATCTTCCTTGAAATCGTCAACCAATTCAGCGACGTCAAAGTCGCCTTCAAGACGTTCAATGTCGCCCCGATCTGGGAACTGCCAAACCTCATATTGGACACCCTTCGGTCTGTGCCACTCAACGGGGGACACAGGCTTCCAGCCAATATCAAGTTACGTGGCGACGACGGCCCCAATCGGGCCCCTCACCCGACGCCAGCGTTTCGAGGCCAAAATGTCGAGACGGCCCCGAATGCGATGCCACGAGCGGGTGATGCGGGCGTGCAGCTCGGGGAAACGATTCCACATGTCAAACCACGCGTATAAAACCTGAGCCCTCAAAGCAATGACGGGCTCGCGTTCGGCCTAAAATAAAGATAGCACCGTGGCAAGACAACGGCCTGGACTTTTACTGGCAACCGATTGGGGCGCCTGACGCCTCAAGGCAAGGATTGATGAAGGGGAGAGGCCCATGGCCTGATGGCCATAAACGGCCTGGGGGATGGGCCCCCTGAAGCCAGAGCCCCTGGGACAACACCCTTCAATAGCTCTTGGTTTGGCAGAGCGAAAACGTTCCCAGGAGGCGGCTGCAATGTGCCTCTTGTGCACAATCCACTCGCCCCCCCTGGGGCCTGAAGATGAGGGCGCTGATGCCGAGGCAGGGGTCCCAACCATCTTCCATCCGTCCTTGAACAACTCCGAACAGGCAGCCTCCATGCCGCTGAGCTTGACGCGGGTCTCAGCGAGGGCAACCGTCTCGACCGCGGAGCCTGCCCCGCGCATGCATGACAGAGCCTTCGGGCCCCACTCGCTGACGTTGGCGAACAACAAACGGGCTGAGTGGGGATTGGCGAGGTCCTCCTCAGATGCCTCCGCACACGCCCCCCCCCCCCCCCCCCCGCAGACGCCCTCGGAGTGAAGGGGGCCGAGGCCGAGGCAGGAGCCAAGCACGGGGTGCACCTCGGGGCTGAGGCAGACGCTGCTGCAACCGAGGGACACGTGGAAACACTCGGACCCAATGGTGCCGAGGCCGAAGCGGCCGCCGAACTCGGAGTGCTCCCCGAAGCTGAAGCCGACGTGGCCGCACACGGCCCACCCGTGGAAATCCTCGGGCCCCCCAGGCGTCGATAACGAGTAAGCCGTGGGGATCGGAGTGCAGCCAGGCATCCACTCTACCGCAGGGTCAGTAGCCGCCTGTCGGCCGAGCGGGCATCAGTGCTGGGCCCCGCGCCTCGCCTGCGCAGGAAGTCGGGAAATCTGGCGCCTCCGCCTGAACAGCTGAGGAGAGGAAAGGCCTCCCACAAAATGGCGAGACCACCGTAGGCGCAACGGTCGTGGTCTGTCGTCTCTGTGGGGCCACGGCGTCGAGCTCACGACGCGCGTCGATGTAACTCAGGGCATTGCGAGCCAACTCTTCCTGCCAGTCATCGTAGTCGATGTCGCGGAGGCTGTTGAGGTGATCACGATAAGCTCGCCGCTGGCGACGGCGAGCATGCCACGCTCGCTCGCAAATCTGCCTGGCCATGTCCAGCTGAGCGACCGCAAGGTTGCCGTGCCCTGCTGAATCAGCGGCCTCTTGCACAAGGGGCTGCAGTGCAGGGTCTGCCAGGAAATCGGCAGCGTAAAGAATGCAAACAAGCTTCCAGTCGGCCAAGTCAGTCGCGCCATCAACAACGCTGGGGTCAGGCACCCAGGCGCCAGTGAAAGACCTCAGCCGCCTCTCAAGGAGCTGTCTATTATGAATGGGTGCCCGCCTGGCAGGGTCCTGGTCCTTGCACTGGACCGCTCTGCCCTCGAACTCAGAGTCGTCGTCGCTCGGGGAGGTGCTGAACTTGTAGTGGCCGTAGACCTCAAGGTCGGGGAAGAAGGCGAGCTCTTCATCCTTCGTGAGGAAGATGTCCCCGTAGTGCGGGAACGGCAAGCCGCCGTGCGTGGCGGTGTCGGTGCACTCGCAGGCGCTAAGCTCCTTGCATGTCCCGCTTCTTCTCTTCAATGGCAGCCGTGGCCTTAGCCCTGGCCGCAGCTCGCAGGGCCTCAGCACTGATGCGCTCGCCACCGCCCCGTGACGATCCAGCAACGCTGCCGCCAGTAGAAGAGGCACCAGCAGCGGGAGCCGAAGGCTCCGCGGGGCCCGAGGCTGGGGCTCCATCAGGGCCGCGGGGCCTCTTGGCCTGCAACCTGGCGTGGAGAGCCTGGGCCTCCTCTCGCAGCTTAAGGATCTGCTGAGCGGCAGGCCCCAAGGCCTCCTGAACCTTGGCCTGCACGCTGGTGGCGAGCTCGCCCTTGATGCGGGCCCACTCCGTGCGCTCCGTCTCGTCGACCTCGAGGCCCTCCAGGTCGAAGAGGGGCCATCGACGAAGCGCAGCGAGCCCTCGTCGACGAGCGTCGAGAGGTTGATGGCCGTAGCAGCGGATGCCGTCTCAGACCGCGGCGTCGACGGCGATGGCAGCTGCTTGGCGCACGCCTCCTCCCAGTGCTGCTGGGCCTGGCGCGCCGCCTCGGCCGCTGCATCCTCCGCCTCCTTGGCGTCGACCAGCCAGGCCTCGCCTTCAATGACGCGGCGCGCGCAGGTCTCAAGCCAAGCCTGCGCTCGCCTGCACGCGATCCCCTTCGCGGAGACCTCCTCCTCCAAGAGGGGCGGGCGGCGCGGGGCCTCGGCAGGCTGCTCCTTCGCGGCCAGCTTGGCGGACAGGGCCGTGAGCTCCCCCAGCTGCTCGCGGAGCAACGCGAGAGGGTCGGCTGGCCGCGGATCACGCACGTCCTCTGGCGGCGGGCCGCCGCCGTACGGGTACCAGCCGGGCCCGTGCCAGACCCATGGGCGGCGCTCCTTCGGCGCACCCTTGGCGGCCCTCGGCGGCACAGGGGGGCCCTTGGCTTGGCCACCCGCGGGCGGCGCCGCCGCAGCGAAGGTGTCGAACGGGTTCGAGGCGAGCATGGGCGGGCCGAACGACCACTGGCCCGCGGGCTTCTTGTCGGGAGCCGGGTGCGGCACCATCGGCAAGCAGCACTGGTAGCACCAATGGTTCGACTTGAAGTTCCAGCGGTAGCGGCACGCCGGGCAGCTGACGTAGGTGCCCGACTTGTCCTTGCCCTTGCCGCAAGCTCCGCTGGCACCCTTGCTGCTCGCATGGTGGCCCATGAGCTGACGGCCCTGCTGACTGTAGCAGGGCTCCACACCTGGGGAGAAAGGCGGAGAGTATGAAAGCAGCCGCGGACTAGCGGTATCCGTTTGGTCCCCTGGGGAACAAAGCATCTTGAGCCAACATGGCTACGGAGGAGGAGGAGGAGGAGGAGGAGGAGGAGCGAGGAGGAGGAAGAGGAGGAGACCCCAGACCTCCCAGACGACCCGCCATCTCATACTCGTGCTCGTGCGCTTGCATCCTGCTGGCCCCCGAGAGCTCCGGCGCCAGTACTGTGCCCCCGCGGCCCGGCCCTGCGGCCGGTCTCCTCCGGGGCCCCGGCCGCGCCCCCCCCGAAGGCCGGGGCCCCCGCGGTGCCGTTCATGAGCCCCTGCTGGTAGACCGGGTAGAGCGGCTCCAGGCCTCGGGGAGGAGGAGGAGGAGGAGGAGGAGGAGGAGGAGGAGGAGGAAGAGGAGGAGGAGGAGGAGGAGGAGGAGGAGGAGGAGGAGAAGAAGAAGAACACGTCCAAAATTCGACCCAACCATGAAATAATAAAACTTTTAAGGTGGATAGGCCCGGGTCAGTCAGGCCCTGCAGGCTCCTGCAAGACCCTGCAAGATCCTGCACCCAGGCCCGGGTCCACGCGGAGGATCCTGGGAAGGATCCTGCGAGATCCGGCGCCCAAGCCCGGGTCAGTGCGACCCTGGCCCTGCAGGATCCTGCAGGATCGGGCGCTCTGGCTGACCCCCGTTCGCATGGACCCCCGTCTCAAGGCTCCCGAAGGCCGTTGTGCTCGCAGAGCCCGGGCAAGAGCTTGTTCGGGTCGACCTTCCGGGGAACGAAGAATGGCGTAGACATGACAACTCGGAGGTCCGCGCGGACTCCCGGATTGGCGCTGGACCCCCTTCGTGGCGCGCGGAGCGTGCCAAGGGCGGTGCTGGAGGCGCCGCCAGGGGGTCCAGCGCAGATCGGAGAAATCCGCGCGGAACTCCGAGTTTTTATGTTTCTGTCATTCTTCGTTCCCCTAACCTTGTTCGTGTTCGGGTCGACGAGGAGGCTGAGGACCTCGGCGGCTCGGCTGCGGCCCAGAGGGTGAATGTACGAGCGAGCAGGCGGCTGCGGTGGAAAGGGGGGGCAGACATGTTCATGGTGAGGAGGCACCTCTAAGAAGCCTTCGTGAGAACGATGGGGGCTATCATGCGAAGCCCGGTGAACATCGCCATTAAGCTAGATCAGCCCAGATCAAACCCAAAATTAATCCCGCTCAGTTTTGCCAGATTGGGCTTCACGCCGGTTTTCGACCACGTATTTGCCAGCGCCGGAGCTGAATGTAACCTCCTGGTAGTTGCATCCCAACGATGGGGCAGGGCACTGTCCCAGTGTCTGGTTTTCTCGCTCATAGGGCCAGTCCGTGCTCTTCCTCAACTAGGGCTCCCAACTTCGCGCTTCGCGCTGCGCGAAGCGCGAATAACTTCGCGCTCTCGCGCCGCCCTCCCAGAGGGAGAATAGCAGGACGAGGAGGAGGGGGAGAAGGAACGAGGACCGCGAAGCGCGAAGCGCGAATAACTTCGCGCCCTCGAGGGAGCCCTTGCTCAAGGGTGGCGCTGGCCCTCGGAACGGACTGCGCATCTCTACGTTTCGCCGTCGCACGGGCCGCTGTTGTGGGCAGGACGGCCAGGCCCTCTGCTGCGCCTGCGCGAGCTGCACGCAACGGGCGGCACTCTGTCTCGCATGAACATCAGTCACTCCGAAAGGGGAAGGGCAACGAGGTGAGACGCGAGGAAGGTGAAGCGGACGATGAGGATCACAGGTCCTCCTCCTCCTCCTCCTCCTCCTCCTCCTCCTCCTCCCTCCTCCTTCCTCCCTCCTCCCTGGGTGCCGGCTCAGGGGAGGGTCAAAGAGCGAGGCGGGCGGCATTCCACATCGAGCGTGGCTCTACAGATCCAGGCTCTGACCCCGACCTGGCAGCGCAGAAACAGCACGCTCGCGTTGCAGGGCGTTCTTTTCAGGAGGCGGCGACGATGCATACACCTATATCTATACACATACACTCATACTATATATATATATATATATGTATACACGTAGAAATATCTAGTGAAGGGGGCGAACGGTCATTCATTGTCCCTGGGTGCGCGGCTGAAGTGGGGTTCCACGGTGCGGATTGTTGTTGTGCTGTCGACGTCCCCTGGAACATATTATTGCTGATCCGAGCCTGCAAGACGCACCTATTCTTAACAAGAAAAAACCCTTTCCCGCAGGTTGGGCCCCTGGCCCCAAAACTACAACAGCAACGGGTCCCGCTGTAGATTTCCCCACAATTTGTTTCAGCATCGCGCTCTCGCGCGGGATTTCCTGACAATGTATGCAAGAATCGAGCTCTCGCGTGGGACCTCCTCGCAATTTATTCAGACGCCGCGCCCTCGACGCTCAGGAATTGCGCTCTCGTTCTAGCTTCTCTCGCGATTTACTTCGGAATCGCGCTGTCGCTAGAGAAATCATCGCGATTTCTGTACGGCTCACATTTCAACAACCCGCCTGTTCGGCCTGGCCGCCTGGGCCCGCCTACCTGACCCCCCATTTAGGGTCGACCCGCCCGATGAGCCCCGATGAGCCCGTCCGAATCTGCCACGTGTCTTCTGCTCCTAACCCCCCTTGCTAATCTCTCTCGTACTCCATCCGTGTCCCTTGCTAATCCCTCTCTTTCACTGTTTTGGGGGCTGCGACAATTACGCGTCGTGGCAGGTAGTGATGTTGTATCCGAAGGAGGTACGATCGAAGACGAAAAGGGTGGGAACCGAAGGTTTGGAGAGTACGTGTTGAATTGCACGCGAGCAACAACATCGAACAATGTTAACGTGTGTGTTGTTGTTGTTGTTGTTGTTGTTGTTGTTGTTGTTGTTGTTGTTGTTGTTGAGCTCTCACTACTGAAAAACAGCTATTGTTGGTCCTCCTCTCCGGTGACCATTGTGTTTTTTCAGTTGGAGTGCTTCCCCCGGGGCTCGCACCCTATCTTTAACCAGGGAGACTACTGGGCTCAAACTGCCTCGTTGACCCCCGAACTACAACAACAACGGCTCCCACCTGATACGTCCTCACTATGTATTCCCAAATGGCGTTCTCGCGCGGGACTTCCTCGCAATGTATTCAGGAGTCGCGCCCTCCCGCGGGAATTCCTTGCAATTTATTCAGACGCCGCGCCCTCGACATTCAGGAGTCACGCTCTCGCTTTGGATTTCCTGACGATTGATTCGGGAATCGAGCTGTCGCTCGAGACTTCCTCGCGATTCATGCAACACGCACGCTTGAGCAACCCGCCTGCTCGACCTGGCCTCCTAGGCCTTCCTTGCCGACCCACCTGGTAGGGTCTACCCGCCCGATCTGCCCCCCTGATTCTGCCAGGTGTTTTCTGCTCCTAGCCCGTGCTCCCTCCTCCTCCCTCCCCTTTGTCCTTCCTTCCATCCGTCCTCGCTTCCCCTACCTCAGGGGCTACGCGAAATACACGTTACGCCCAAGGGGGTACGGTCGAGGACGAAGAGGGCGGGTATCGAGGGTTCTGGATATACGTGTTGAATGGCACGCGAGCAAATAAGAGCGAACACTATCAAAATGAATGTTACTGTTGTTGTGGTTGTTGTTAGTATTCTAAAAAACAACTCTCGCTTCAAATTCCCCCCCCCCCCCCTCCCGTGACCGTTGTATGTTTTCAATGGTACATGCTTCTCCCTGAGCTCGCACCCTGTTTGCAAACAAGGGGAAATGAAAGGTCACCAAACTGTGCCCCTGGCCCCCGGTTTACAACATCAGCCGCTCCCGCCTGATACTTCCTCACAATGTATTCCCAAACCGCGCTTTCGCGCGGGACTTCCTCACAATGTATACAAGAATCGTGCTCTCACCTAGGACTTCCGCATAACTATTCTAACGCCGTGCCCTCGACACTCAAGAATCACGCTATCCCTATGGATCCCCTTGCTGATTATTGGGAAGTCGCGCTATCGCTTGAGAATTCCTCGCGATCCATGCAGGACGCACGCTTCATTAACCCGCCTGCCCCTTGTCCCTTCCTTCCATCCGTCCTGTCTTCCCCTGCCCTACGGGCTGCACGACATACACGTGGAAGGCAAGAAAAAAATGTACCGCCAAAGGGGCACGATCGCAGACGAAGAAGGCGGCGACCGAGGGTTTGGGAAACACGTGTTGACTGGCACGCGAGCAGATACATTACCCTGGCGACGTACCCAACCCCTGCGCAAAAGCGGGGCGCAAATAGTTTAGGATACTTTATAAAGGGGCGATGACGGAGCGAGGGTTACATATGTCTGCAGACGGAATTCGGGAGACTCGCAGGACACTGGCTACAGGAAAAGGGCTTGATAAAGCTGATGATTTACAATTCCTGAGCACTCCTAGCCACTTCGAAAACGGGGATCACAGCAGGCCTCGAAAGTGGCGACAGGTTCACAGATCGCAGCCCCGCAGGGATGGCGAGGTCTCATTTGAATCTGCCCGTGGCCCTCACTGTGCTGGGCCCCCCAGCAGGCCTCGAAAATGGCGGCAGTTTCGCAGATCGCAGCCCCCCAGGGATGGCGAGGTCTAATTTGAATCCGCGCGTGGCCCTCACTGTGCTGGGCCCCCCAGCAGGCCTCGAAAATGGCGACAGTTTCGCAGATCGCAGCCCCCCAGGGATGGCGAGGTCTAATTTGAATCTGCGCGTGGCCCTCACTGTGCTGGGCCCCCCAGCAGGCCTCGAAAATGGCGACAGTTTCGCAGATCGCAGCCCCCCAGGGATGGCGAGGTCTAATTTGAATCCGCGCGTGGCCCTCACTGTGCTGGGCCCCCCAGCAGGCCTCGAAAATGGCGACAGTTTCGCAGATCGCAGCCCCCCAGGGATGGCGAGGTCTAATTTGAATCCGCGCGTGGCCCTCACTGTGCTGGGCCCCCCAGCAGGGCCTCGAAAATGGCGACAGTTTCGCAGATCGCAGCCCCCCAGGGATGGCGAGGTCTAATTTGAATCCGCGCGTGGCCCTCACTGTGCTGGGCCCCCCAGCAGGCCTCGAAAATGGCGACAGTTTCGCAGATCGCAGCCCCCCAGGGATGGCGAGGTCTAATTTGAATCCGCGCGTGGCCCTCACTGTGCTGGGCCCCCCAGCAGGCCTCGAAAATGGCGACAGTTTCGCAGATCGCAGCCCCCCAGGGATGGCGAGGTCTAATTTGAATCCGCGCGTGGCCCTCACTGTGCTGGGCCCCCCAGCAGGCCTCGAAAATGGCGACAGTTTCGCAGATCGCAGCCCCCCAGGGATGGCGAGGTCTAATTTGAATCCGCGCGTGGCCCTCACTGTGCTGGGCCCCCCAGCAGGCCTCGAAAATGGCGACAGTTTCGCAGATCGCAGCCCCCCAGGGATGGCGAGGTCTAATTTGAATCCGCGCGTGGCCCTCACTGTGCTGGGCCCCCCCAGCAGGCCTCGAAAGTGGCGACAGTTTCGCAGATCGCAGCTCCCCAGGGATGGCGAGGTCTAATTTGAATCCGCCAGTGGCCCTCACTGTGCTGGCCCCCCAGCAGGGCTCGAAAATGGCGACAGTTTCACAGATCGCAGCCCCCCAGGGATGGCGAGGTCTAATTTGGATCCGCCCGTGGCCCTCACTGTGCTGGGCCCCCCAGCAGGCCTCGAAAATTGCGACAGTTTCACAGATCGCAGCCCCCCGCGGGCAAGACAGGAAGAGGCTGGAGGGGAAAAGGAGGAAGGGCGGGAGAAGGGACGCGACCACACTGCTCTATTCAAAACGAATACCCAACCAAGGAGGGTTGGGAAAAACGAACAATATGTTAAAACTGATGCTGTTGTGGTCGTTGTTGGTATGTGTGCTGTTGCTGTTCAAGCTCTGCGCGGCCCGCTTAGCTTCGACCGGAAGAGGTGTGCTCTCGACCAGCGAATCAAAAAGTGTGTTGTTATTGTTGTTGTCGTTGTCGTTGTCGTCGTTGTTGTTGGTGCTGCTGTTGTTTGTTTGGTTGGTTGTCCGTTTGTGTGTTGTTTGTTGTTGCTGCTGTCGTCACACGAGCGACTCGGCCCGCGAACCACCCGCGACCCGCCCGCGACCCACCCGCGACCCACCCGCGAACCACCCGCGACCCACGCGCGACCCACCCGCGACCCACCCGCGACCCCCCTGCGACACGCCCGCTGCCCACGTGCGGCCCACCCGCGACCCACCCCATCCAGCCGCGACCCACCCCGTATTTGAATATACGTACATATGTGTGTAAGACAGCGTGGGCTCCAAAATGTAATCCAGGAAATTGCACGTTGCACAATGTGGTGCAGCACCTGTGGCACAAACTATGTTGTTCAACCGATGATGAGCAACATATGTGGTGCAAACTAAACGGTGCAATTCATTTTGACCGTCTTGAAACTGTCCTCTCCACTGCTCGTGCAAACATCCCACCCTCCCACCCGCAACTTGGTCGCAAGACATCTCAAGACAAGACCGTGACGTTAGGTACCACATGGCACTTGGCCACGACACCGACGCCGACGACGACTGCGACAACGACGACGACGGCGCCGCCGACACCGACTACGACGACACCAACGACGTCTTCAACGACTTCGACGACGGCAACGACGACGACGACACCGACGACGACGACGCCGACGACGACGACGATGACAACGCCGACGACGACGACGACGACGCCGACGACGACGCCGACGCCGACGACGACGAAGACAACGACGACGACGACGACAACGCCGCCGCCAACGAAGACGACGACGACGACGAGGGAGGAGGGAGGACGACGACGGCGACAACGACGACAACGACGAGGGAGGAGGGAGGACGGCGACGGCGCGAACGACGAAGAAGGAGGAAGGACGGCGACGCCGACGACGACAACGACGAGGGAGGAGGGAAGACGACGACGACGACAACGACGACGACGACGACGGCGACGAAATAAGACGACGAAGAGACGCCGACGACGGACGACGACGACGACGAGGGAGGAGGGGGAAGGACGACCACGGCGACAACGACGACGGAAACGACCACGACGCCAAAGAGGACGACGACGACGAACACGAGGAAAGACAGAGGACGACGTAGGCGACGACGACGACGACGACGTGGGAGGAGGGAGGACACCGACGACGACGACGACGCCAGAGCGCGCGCGCACGTTTTTGTGCTTTGTAGGTTTTGGACACAAGATGTTGAAATCCTTCCGAAGCCGATGGGTTTTGAAGGATTTCGGCATACGCGCGCGACGACGCGCGCGTCTGCACTTCGCCAATCTTTTTGCAGAGGATTCTCGCGACCGCACACGCGCAATGGCGTTCGACAGATTTCGACATGCGCGCGCGAAGCCCGTTTGGTAGCATGTTGTGAAAATATTGAAGAACCTATGGTTTTCTTCCGATTTCGCAAGAGCTCGCGCGTAAGCTTTTTTAGCAAATCACTGTTGCGAAACCCTGTGTTTTTGTATGTTTTTGGGGAAATTCGATTGCGATTTTTTTCCGACACCGAAGGTTTTTGGAGGGTTTCGGCATGCACGCGCGACGGCGCGCGCGTGCGCACTTCGTCCCATTTGTTGCCAGGGATACGTGGCAAAGTCTTATGTTAGAACAAAAGATGTCCCCGCGTATCGTTTTTTTTTACAAGGGAACCTCAGGGGGGTCGATACCGGCCCCCCGGGGATAGTGTAAATTGTCGATACCGGCCCCCCGGGGATAGTGTAAATTTAGACTCAGGATGGGCATGTGGTCAGAATCATACATGATTTACATACCCAAAAGGGGGACCGATAACGCCGGGAGGGGGGGGGGTAGAGTCTATATTTCTTTTTAAAAAGGAGAATATACGTGTAAATATGTGGTGCAGTCTACGTTGTACAATCTATGTGGTCAACTCGCGTGGTGCAATTTTTTGTGGGGCAATCGATGTGCTCGAATCTACGTGGTGCAAGTTACCCTGCCGAACTTGACATTGTCAACTCCACTGCTCGCACATTCACCCCACTCTGCCACCCACCGACATGCGACTTGGTTTGCAAAACCCATGCGTCGGCGATTGCGATGACTCCTCGACGCTGGCTGGCGCATCGCCGCTGCCGCGCTAGCGCGCGGCTCTGTCGCAGAGCGGTAGCGCTGACCGCTGGGGACTCCCCAGCACGTCCCGGCGGCGCGGTATCATGGCGACTTCGACGACGGCAGACACGATGATGATAGTAGCGGTGCTGGTGACGATCATGACAATGGCGACGCAAAGGGCAATGACTGCGCCGATGCTGATCACGCCGATGACGATGATGGCATCCTCGCGTCGGTGATGCAGGTTGTGATACATGGTGTTTTTTGACAGAGATCGTGCCCCACCAAGCACGCGCGCAAGGGCTTTCGAATGATTTCGACATGAGATCGCGAGAGGCCCGCTAGGTCGAATTTGATGGAAACGTTGAAAAACAAACGGTTGCCTTGAAAATTCGCAAGGGCGCGAGCGCTTGCTTTTTTCCCCAACCAGTGCTTGCACTGAAGGGGTCCTAGCGGATCTTGAAGGATTTGGCGACAACTGGCAGCCGATTTCGGTAGGCGGCCGGGTTCCTGGGTTCCTGGTTCCGGGTTCCTGGGTTCCCGGTTGCTGGTTCTGGGCCGATTTCGGTGGGCGGTGGGGTTGCGGGGCTTCCGGGTTCCCAAGTTCCTGGTCGATCTCCTTATCGATCGGTCTTACCATCGATCTCATTAACCACCTCTGAATCGACCTCACTATCGGTCTCAATCGATGTAACAATCGATGTCGCAATACATCCCACAATAGATCGCACGAGCGATCTCACGATCAATCTCACTACCGATCTCACTGAATCGACTTCACTGTGGGTCTCACGATCGGCCTCAATATCGTCCTTACTCTCGATCTCAAGATCGATCTCACTATCGATCCCACAATCGACCTCAACCAGATCAATAATTTTCAAACCATCCTCTGATTGGGGTTTCTCTGTTTTCTGTTGTCATGGAAAGCTCCTGTTGCGAAACACTTGTTTTTCCCCCATCAGTTCTTGCACCGAAAGGGTTCTAGCGGATGTGGAAAGAAATGGCGAACATTCTTACCCGATGTCGGTGGGCACGGGATCATGGGTTCCCGCTTGCTGGTTCCGAGCCGATTTCAGTGGGCGGCAGGGTTCCCGGGTTTCTAATTTTCCTGGGCTCCTGGTCGATCTCCTTATCGGTCGCTCTCGCCATCGATCGGTCTCACAATCGATGTTACAATCGATCTCACAATAGATCTCAATATAGATGGCACGAGCGTTCTCACGATCGATGTCAGTATCGCTCTCACTGAATCGACATCACTATCGGTCTCGCGACCGACCTTACGATCGTCCTCACTACAGGTCCCACGATCGATCGCACTATCCATCTCACAATCGATCTCAATATCCATATCGCTGATGCTCAAACAATCCCCTGGTTGGGGATTGGACACGTGTAATTATATGTTTTCCGAACACTTGTTTTTTGAGGCCTGACGGTACCTCCAGTGTAGAATGATTCCAGCATGCGTGCGCGACGGAGCGCGCGTGTGCATTCCGTCTAATGTTTGCAACGGGGTCTTGTGACAGCACCGCGCAAGGGCGTCCAAATAATGCCGACATGCGCGCGCGAGAGGCCCGCTTGGTAGACTTCGATGAGATTGTTGACAAACGCCAGTGGGTTCCTTCAGAATTCGCAGAAGCGCGAGCGCAGGTTTTCGTTGAACATTCCTGTTGCGAAACGATTATGTTTTACATGTTTTCGGGAACCTCGATTTCGAAGTCCTTACGAAACCTGAAGTTGTTGAGAGATTTCGGCATGCGCGCGCGACAGCGAGCGCGTGTGCACGTTCGTTTCGTTATTTTGCCAAAGATGTCTGAAACTGTTGATCCTAGAATGGCCTGTGCTGCCATGGGCCAGGGCCACCTTCATGGCGAGACCCGGACGACAGAGAAGGTTGACAGGAATGGGTGGAGAGCGACAGCGTCGGCACCTGCGCACATCGTGAGGCGGTGCACTCTGAACCATGTGGATGCGGCTCGGTGCGTGATTCCAGCTAACGGATGAGAGGCGCGATTGTCACACATAACTGCACGCGAAGTCGGCGTTCACATTGTCCAGCACACACACGATAGGAAGTCCTGCTATGCTAATTCTTGGGGCGCTACTTATTTGTCAATCTGGGAGAATTCTAAAGTGGCCCAGGGCTTCTGCGGATCCCTTGGGCCTTTGGGGTGGCAGTGAGGATATGCAATTTCCACAGGGCACCTGCTGGCAGGCAGACTTAATATTTCATACACCTGCTGTACTCAGGAAGTGGTGGAACGCAGAAGGGAATGGGGGCCCGACGGGGTGGCGAGGTTTGAGCAGGGGCTTAGAGCAAAGGGGTGTTGCAATAACAGTGACAATGTTCTTACAGTATCACGCCGATGTATTAGAACACTACGGTCTCAGTCAGACTTGTTCTACGACGAATCAGTGCCAACCACAAGAGGCTCTGAGAATTCCTTGGTGGGCCTATAGGCAAACCAGGACACCTCGCCACTGCTTGATATTTAGGAGCCGCACGCGAGACCGCGAGACCGCACAGCAATCCCAACGGGGTTAAGACGGCGACTGCGTCCCGCACCTGCTCCAGGTAGAGGACGAGCTCCTTCGCAATGTTTCTCGGGGGGGGGGCTCACTCCCCTGCGGGAAGAGGGCCACCCCACCAAATGCAGCCGCCCAAGATGGCCCCTCCCCAACACTTCTCCTTCTCCTTCTCCTCTCCCCCCTCGGTGCCCCTCCCTTTGCCCTCCCGCCTTCAGCCCCTCCCTCCACTTCCTTCCCAGCCATCCTCCCTCCGCTCCTCCCCTCCCCTCCCATCTCTTACCCTCCCCTCTCCTCCCATCCTCTTCTCTGCTCTTCTCCTCTCCTCTCCCTTGCCTCCTCGGCAACACACGCCCTGCGGCGCCTCATAGGTGGCAGTGGAAGCGCGCGCTGGCAGGTTAGGGCGCTCCCCCGGTGACCCACGCAGTCCTCCTTCTTGCACTTCTTCACGATGGTGCCCAACGCCTTCATGCTGGCAGACAGCGCCTCGGGGTCTTCGTCCGCGAGGGCCGACCTGAGGATGCCTGGCAGGGCCTCGTTCAGCCCGCCCGCCACGTCGGTCGTCGAGCTCTCGAAGAAGTGCTCCACGAGCCTGGCCCCGAACGCGCGCCTGGCTGGCGGGAGCTCTTCGGCCCTCGCTCCTTGCTCCTCGTCGCCTCTCTTCTCGCCCTGACCGCCGTCGTCCTCGCTCGTCGCCGCTGCCCCCAAGGCACCGGGACTCCTCCGCCGCGCGGGGGGGGGGGCGAGGCCACGCTGGGGGCGGGCGCCGCGGGGAGCGGCGCTGTGCGGTCTCAGCGGCGGCGGGGCCTCCCCGCCCTCAACGCTCCATCTGCATCCTCGCCCTCCTCATCGCCCTCCTCCCGCTTCATCTGCACCGTCAGCGCTCCAGCAGCGCTCAGGTCGACGGCCTCGGCCTGAGCGCTCCATCTGCACCTGCTCGCCCTCCTCCTCGCCTCCCTCCTCCCTTGAGATTCTGGCGTCGTAACCCTTCCGAGCCGAGCGTTCTCGCCCAATTTCGGGCCCAGGGGCCCTCACATATCGATCCGGCTCCAAACTATGGCGCAGAAAGGCGGGACCTGGAGCTCCAGCCGATGTTTTTTTGGCTTTAATCCATGTTGCACCTTGTCCGAGGCGTTGAACCTCAGGGCCCGCTGCAGGGGCACGAGGAGGAGCAGGAGAAGCAGCAGGGGCAGGATGCGGAGGAGGGCGTGGTCCCCCCTGCCCGCATCCCCCCCCCTGATGATGAGGAGGAGGAGGAGGAGGAAGAGGAGGAGGGGGAAGAGGGGGAGGCGGAGGGGGAGGAGGAGGGGGAGGAGGAGGAGGAGGACTCTTCGTCGGGCGGGGGAGCGGCCAAAAGCGCAGCCCGCACGGCTTCGGAGCGCAGCGGCGGGGCCAGGGCGCCGCTTCGCGTCGTGCTTGTCGTTCAGGGGGACGACGAGCTCTGCGAAGAGCATGTGGAGCCCAGCCTGCGGATCTGGGGGCCTCCCACTGGGGTCCGAATCGATGGGCTCAGCGGATCGCGCCGCTTCGCCGATGCATCGCCGCCGACGGCGTGGAGGCAGTCGGGCTCCACATCGAGCCGCATCGCTGATACGTTGGCGATGCGGCGCGATCCTCCGACCCCTTCCACTCTGGCCCAAACTGGAGGCCTGGAGGATCAGGGCCGCCAGAGCTCAAACGATCATCTAAGACATGCTCGAGCTGTGGATTGTGCGCGGGCTTGCCTGGGCTGTTGCTGGAGTAGTAGTAGTAGTAGTCGTCGTCGTCGTATTAGTATTATTATTATTATTCCCAACCCTCCTTGGTTGGGTATTCGTTTTGAATAGAGCAGTGTGGTCGCGTCCCTCCTCCCTCCCTTCCTCCCTCCCTGCCTCTTCCTGTCTTGCCTGCGGGGGGCTGCGATCTGTGAAACTGTCGCCATTTTCGAGGCCTGCTGGGGGGCCCAGCACAGTGAGGGCCACGGGCAGATTCAAATTAGACCTCGCCATCCCTGGGGGGCTGCGATCTGTGAAACTGTCGCCATTTTCGAGGCCTGCTGGGGGGCCCAGCACAGTGAGGGCCACGGGCAGATTCAAATTAGACCTCGCCATCCCTGGGGGGCTGCGATCTGTGAAACTGTCGCCATTTTCGAGGCCTGCTGGGGGGCCCAGCACAGTGAGGGCCACGGGCAGATTCAAATTAGACCTCGCCATCCCTGGGGGGCTGCGATCTGTGAAACTGTCGCCATTTTCGAGGCCTGCTGGGGGGCCCAGCACAGTGAGGGCCACGGGCAGATTCAAATTAGACCTCGCCATCCCTGGGGGGCTGCGATCTGTGAAACTGTCGCCATTTTCGAGGCCTGCTGGGGGGCCCAGCACAGTGAGGGCCACGGGCAGATTCAAATTAGACCTCGCCATCCCTGGGGGGCTGCGATCTGTGAAACTGTCGCCATTTTCGAGGCCTGCTGGGGGGCCCAGCACAGTGAGGGCCACGGGCAGATTCAAATTAGACCTCGCCATCCCTGGGGGGCTGCGATCTGTGAAACTGTCGCCATTTTCGAGGCCTGCTGGGGGGCCCAGCACAGTGAGGGCCACGGGCAGATTCAAATTAGACCTCGCCATCCCTGGGGGGCTGCGATCTGTGAAACTGTCGCCATTTTCAAGGCCTGCTGGGGGGCCCAGCACAGTGAGGGCGACGCGCGGATTCAAATTAGACCTCGCCATCCCTGGGGGGCTGCGCTCTGTGAAACTGTCGCCATTTTCGAGGCCTGCTAGGGGGCCCAGCACAGTGAGGGCCACAGCGATTCAAATGAGGCAGATTCCTCGCACAGTGACGCCTTCCACCTCGCCATCCCTGGGGGGCTGCGATCTGTGAAACTGTCGCCATTTTCGAGGCCTGCTGGGGGGCCCAGCACAGTGAGGGCCACGGGCAGATTCAAATTAGACCTCGCCATCCCTGGGGGGGCTGCGATCTGTGAAACTGTCGCCACTTTCGAGGCCTGCTGGGGGGCCCAGCACAGTGAGGGCCACGGGCAGATTCCTCTGAGACCTCGCCATCCCTGGGGGGCTGCGATCTGTGAAACTGTCGCCATTTTCGAGGCCTGCTGGGGGGCCCAGCACAGTGAGGGCCACGCGCGGATTCAAATTAGACCTCGCCATCCTGGGGGGGCTGCGATCTGTGAAACTGTCGCCACTTTCGAGGCCTGCTGGGGGGCCCTGCACAGTTACGCCACGGGCATATTCAAACGAGACCTCGCCATCCCTGGGGGGCTGCGATCTGTGAAACTGTCGCCACTTTCGAGGCCTGCTGAGGGGCCCGGCGCAGTGACGCCACGGGCAGATTCAAATGAGACCTCGCCATCCCCTGGAGGGTGCGATCTGTGAAACTGTCGCCACTTTCGAGGCCTGCTGGGGGGCCCGGCACAGTGACGCCACGCGCGGACCCAAATTAGACCTCGCCATCCCTGCGGGGCTGCGATCTGTGAAACTGTCGCCACTTTCGAGGCCTGCTGTGATCACCATTTTCGAAGTGGCTAGGAGTGCCCAGGAATTGTAACTCATCAGCTTTATCAAGCCCTTTTCCTGTAGCCAGTGTCCTGCGAGTCTCCCGAATTCCGTCTGCAGACATATGTAACCCTCGCTCCGTCATCGCCCCCTTATAAAGTATCCTAAACTATTTGCGCCCCGCTTTTGCGCAGGGGTTGGGTACGTCGCCAGGGTAATTATTATTATTATTCGTAGCAGTAGTAGTAGTAGTAGTAGTAGTAGTAGTAGTAGTAGTAGT